AAAAAAAAAAAAAAAAGATTCACCCTTTGGGAGTCATGACCCGGAAAGATGATTTTCCTCTCATCTGTCCTCCCACAGTTTCCTGGAGCAGCGAGCCTGAACCCACTGGCTCTGGGTGTGAAGGCCACGTCTGCTCAGCAGAATCATACCCTGACCACTGTCTAACCTGTGTCTTTCCCCCTGCCTCCATTAGGAGTTCCGACTCTGAAGAAGCCTTTGAGACCCCGGAGTCAACAACCCCTGTCAAAGCTCCACCAGCCCCACCCCCGCCACCCCCCGAAGCCATCCCAGAACCCGAGGTCAGCGCACAACCACTCCCAGAAGAAAGAGGTAACCAAGGGCCAGGTGCTCCCTGGGGGAGGCCCCAGAGCAGTCCTGTGGCTGCGAGCCCCTGGGGGAGGGGGTCGCAGCATCTCTTCATAAGTACAGCTGGAGGTGGACACCCACTCCAAGCAACTGAGTTGGCCTCTTGGCTTCCGGGCTGCGTTTTATGTTATTCTTGTAGGTTTTTGTGAAAACAAAGAGTGAAGAGATAAAGTGGATTATACTGCATTTGCTTTATAAAATTTTAAAGGAGACCTCTGGGGAAATTGGGTTTGGAGGTGGGCAATGTGTCTCTTAGGTTTCCAGCACAGTCTTGGATTCTAATATTTGGTCCCTTGTTTTCATAAGAACATTGGTTCTGGATAGCCCACGTGAGTCTGTATTTGTATTCCAGGAAAACAGCCCTCACAGGCGGAGGAAGGAAGGTAGTTTGTAAACGGACGAGAGAGAGTGGTAGACAGGGCACGTCAGTCCAGGGTGGTTTGTTTATTCCTCAGTAACCTCTTGTTACCTGATTTCTTATCACTTTCCCACATCCTTTCTTCTTTAGTGTGAGGTAAAGCATCATTATGTGCCTTTTAGATGTGGTGATTATTGGGGCAGGGGTTGGGGAGTGGAGCAGGTCTCATTCCTGCCCCCACCCTGCCCACTTGGCTGGTGTTCTGTGTGCCTCCCCAGTTACACTGGAGGGTGAGACCACCTCTAGCATGGAAGGAGATGGGGCCTGCCAGAAGTGCCCCCAACAGGTTGGTCAAGGGGCCAGGTGATACCGTCCTCAGACCTGGACAGTTCTGGCCCCACACTTCAGGGGCCCCTGCTCTGGCCTTCCTTGGACCACAGGCCTTCCCATGCACTGAGCGGTCTGCAGGGCCAAACCCTCTTCCTGACCATGCGCTGGATACCCAGGCATGGCCACTTCAGGGTCACCTTGTCCCCTTCTCCTGGCTCATCTTCTCCCTCATCCCCTTCTCCTGGCCCAAGGGCAAACTGCCTGAGAAGGAGTCACCAATGGACCTGCCACCTGGAAGCTGGGTGACCACACCCTGTGCTCAAGGCCATCCTGGGTGAGGAACAAGAAGGGCAGAGGGCAGGCCGAGAGCCAGGCCTCCATTGCACTCTTGCCCTGGCCAGGAGCCAGGTGAACTGTATGATAAAACAACATTTTGACCTTGATGTTAGTTTTAGAAAGAAATGAATGGAATTCTTTTTATTTGTCCTGGGTTCAAGCAGGCCATTGTTTTAGAATGGATATATGCTCCTAGAGCTTTAATCCTAAACAAATATGCCCCCTTGTGCTGGGGGGAGGGGCAGGGCAGGTTTTTGTTTTTTTTTTTTAAGTTGGAGTCTCACTCTGTCGCCCAGACTGGAGTGCAGTGGCCGCTTCCGGCCACCGCAGCCTCGACCTGCTGGGCTCCAGCGATCCTTCCGCCTCAGCCTTCCGAGTATGGGCAGTTTTTAATGAAAGCAGGATAGAGGGACAGGCACTCTCCTTGCATCCACCAATGGAACTCAGCTTATCTGAACCCAGCTTACTTTTCTTTTTTTTTTTTTTTGAGCTGGGGTCTTACCCTGTCACTGGAGTGCAGCGGCATAATCACAGCTCACTGTGGCACAGGCGATCCTTCCACCTCAGCCTCCCGAGTAGCTGGGACTACCTACAGGCGTGTGCCACCATGCCTGGCTAATTTTTTTCTTGTTGCCCAGGCTGGTTTTGGATTCCTGGGCTCCTTGCTGTTACCCCTTCTCATATTCTGCTCTCTTTGACAGCTCATGAGACAGCAGTGGTGTCTGGATTTTGCTGAGTCAGTGTAGAGATACCAGCTTTGAGAGGATAGTGATTGGTATTTCTTGGATTTTTAAGGCAGAGAAGAGCCAGGAGGACAGTTTACAGTTCTCAGAAAGTCATTTGCATCTCTTCTTCTATTTTGTGTAACAAAGCATACAAAACTGTACTTCCCATTATATTTTGAAATATGCATCCATAGTTTTTCATGGAAAGTGGCTAAATGACATGCATCATAATCTCCAGGTCAAATGTGTGATGAAGAGTAAACTATTCTTTTTTTGTGTGTTTCACAAGTTCAGGCCTAAAAGTGAGTGGGATGCTTTAGAAAAGAATTTAGAAGAAAAATGATGGCATATGTATGTTCCATCCCCAGACACCAAGAAGTCTGTACAGAAGACCATTTTTGTGCCTATAGATGTGTCTTTGGGGATTCCCAGTCCAGTGTCATGCCTGCTCCTGGGGAGGGGGTCCCACTCTGTTCTTTTCTTTGGTCCTGTCCTCTCCCTTCTGCCTGACTTCCTTTCAACAAAGCAAAGAACAATCTCCATTCTTGAAACTAAACATGCACAATACCTACCACTTTCTTAGATACCAGTTTCTAAAAGAATGAGCTTTATAAAAGATTAAGAAATAAACCCCCAGCAGGGAAGGGACTGGAGACCTTAACTGCCACCGAATCACAGCCCTTTGGAACCTTTTATTACACCAGCTGGAATCTTTGAACAGGGACTTTATGCTTCTCCTCCTTTGAAAATGGCAGTATGTTATTTTCCTGTATGAGGATTATACAGTGAGAAGACTTATGGTTAGAACTGTGTCTGCTGAAAGCTCCCCTAGTTTGGGCTATACTAAGGTCCATTGATTTGCTACCCTTTAGAGACCACCGGCGGGGTACCCTCCCACCTGACGTGGTATCCCCTCATCCATTCTGCAGACCAGCATGGGGCATGAGAAGGCAACTGTGCTTGCTAGTGAGGGTGGCTATTGGAGAAATAAGATTCCTTCTGAGAGCCACGGGAAAGAAAGGGCAGGAGAGGAAAACCTGTTGTTTATCTTTCCTCTCAGAGTGCCCGGAGTATTGCTAAAGATGCTGTAAAGTAATAGGCAAGACCTTTGACTGTGAAAAAAAAACATGATTTTTCCTCCTGGAAACTTACATTTTATAAAACAGTCACTCATCTAATGTTGGGTCCTAAACAGTCACTCATCTAATGTTGGGTCCTATCAGCAGGTTTGTGCTCCCTAGGATAGAGGGACAGGCACTCTCCTTGCATCCACCAATGGAACTCAGCTTATCTAAACCCAGCTTACTTTTCTTTTTTTTTTTTTTGAGCTGGGGTCTTACCCTGTCACTAGAGTGCAGCGGCATAATCACAGCTCACTGTGGCTCAGGCGATCCTTCCACCTCAGCCTCCCGAGTAGCTGGGACTACAGGCATGTGCCACTATGCCTGGCTAATTTTTTTCTTGTTGCCCAGGCCGGTTTTGGATTCCTGGGCTCAAGCAGTCCTCCCTCCTCAGTCTTCCAAAGTGCTGGGATGATAGGTGCGAGCCACCATGCCCAGCTGAGCCCAGTTTTCTTATCCGTAAAATGAAGAGAGTAACTGGTATATCCTCTGAGATTCTTTCCGCTGTGGCCTTCTGTGGTCCTGTGAACGGAGTGTTTGGCTGGTGTATAGTAACTGTTATTAGAACTCAAATCCAGCTGCCAAGGGACATAATTAAATGTCACATAATTAAATAATAGCTCCTGTGTAAGTGTGTGTCCTGTGTCAGGGCTGTGCTATATCCTGTGTGTGTTTCATCTCTCCCTCAGGCGAGGGAGATTTATCCTTCATATGTACCATATCCCTGTACAGTGAACATCTTCACCTGCTTACCCAGTGAGACATGGAGGTTAAGGACCTCGAGTGCTGTCTTGCAGCAAGAGAGGAGGCTCTCAGGAGAGAACCTAGGCCTCTCTACCTTCAAGCCCAACTTCCTTGCATTTGGAAACCAAAAGGCTCTCCGTGCAGGTGACCTGAGCTAGAACGGCTTGAGCACATAGCCTGGTGCAGACACTTAGGAGGTGTTGAGTAAAGGTCGTCTCTGTGCTTGCAGATGCTCAGACATGTGCAAGGGCAGCACTGGCAGCCTGTCCTGAGAGCCGCAGCCTGGGCCACACCTGAGGGAGAGGACAGAGCAAAGGACTGCAAGTCAGTTATCCATGGGGAGACATGGCTGGAGGGCCTAGACTGGTCTGTCCGGTAGTACCCTCACCCCCTGCTCCCAGGAACATTGCTCTTCATGGGGGATGAAGCTTGTTTACTCACTCTTGCTGGGCAACTACCAACCCCAGGGAAAAGGCCCTTGTGGGGACCTTGAAGGTGGTTGGAGCCGCTCTTGCCCTGCGTTTCTATACCTTTCCTCTCTCCTCCTGGGACATGGTGGCCCTTGTCAGGTACCAACTGTGGTCCAAATGGCTGTCTGTGGACCACTGTGCTCAAGTTGACTCCACTGGGAGCTGAGGGCCTGGCCTGGCCTCAGAGCACCCTGTCACTTTTTTCCCCATTGGGCCTGCCACAGGGGACCCTGTTTCCACACACACCATCCTTTGCTTTCATCTCTGAGGAAGCCACGCGTGGGTACTCACTGAGGAGACATGAAACTTCCAGTGGTGGCACAGGACATCTTGGACCCCAACAAGGATTGGGCGCTTCCCAGTCTGGGGCAGGAAGGGGGTGGGTGTTGTTATGGCTTGTGCAAGACTTGGGGGGGGGGGCCATGTCTACCTTTTCCAAGCACCAGCTGTGCCCTGGGCTGAGTTATTAGGGGCTCTCCCTCATCATCCTTACAAGAATACCCAGTTTACATCTGAGGCTCAGAAGGCTCAAATAACCTTCCTGGGCTGCACATTGTCTTAAGTCTGATCAGGGTGCTATAACATAACCATAGACAGGGAGCCTTTTAAAACAACAAATTTTATTTTCCACAGTTCTAGAGGCTGGCAAGTCCAAGATCAAGGCACCAGTAGGTTTGGACCTGCTTTCTGGTTCAGAAACAGCCCCTCTTCCTGTGTCTTCTCATGGTAGAAGGGGCAAGCAAGCTCCCTTTGGCCCCCTTTATAGGCACTAATCCTGTTCATGAAGACTCTGCCCCCATGACCTCATCACCTCTCAAAGGCCCCACCCCCTAATACGATCACCTTGAGGGTGAGGATTTCAACATACGAATTTTGGGGA